CAAAAACTTGCTATGCATCTGAGAGCTGGACAATGAATAGGGATAGAAGAATTTATGCCTTTGAGCTGTGATGTTGGAAATGAGCACTGAATATCCTATGTACTACTAAAAGAACAAACAAGTATGTCTTGGAGAGGGTGCTCTTTGGAGGCAAAGATGATGAAGCTTCACCTCACATACTTGGGGCATATATCTAGGAGGGGCTATTCCTTGAAGAGGGACATGATGTTCAGAAAGGTAGAGGTTCAGCAAAGGAGGAAGACTCTCAACCAAGTGGACTGACACAATTACCTGCCACAATGGGCTCTAATGTGTTAGGAAGTGTGAAGATGGCACGGGATAGGACAGAGTTCAGATCTGTTGTTCACAGGGTCACTACAGATCATAATCAATTTGATGGCACTTAATAACAACAACACTGTCATCAATTTGATTCCAACTTGTGGTGCTCTCTATGTGTCAGAGTAGAAATGTACTCTTCTGAGTTTTCAATGGTTGATTTCTTGGAAATACATTGCTAAGCCTTTATTTTGAGGTGCCTTTGGGAGGACCTGGAATGCCAAACTTTTGGTTATTAGCTCAGCATACTAACAATAACTAATTAGTAAATGGGATGAGGTTTGAATACACCAGGCACTCTGCAGCAGAAGGATGGGCAATCTCTTGTGTGATTTACTGCTTCTGAAAGCCTGCTGAAGGTTTAACTATGAGTTGGTTCCGACTTGATGGTAAAAAATAACAATTAGTAATTGGAACTATTAACTATTTTTTTTTTGGCTTAGAAGTGCTATTAAAAAAATCCCTGACATCTGGAATTTCCATACAACCTAGCAATTTTATGCCTGGGTATATACTAAAAAGACGTGAACGTGAAGACTCAGAAAACCGAACACTAGTGTTCACTGAAATGTACATTATTCACAATAGTCAAAAGGCAGAAACAGCTTAAGTATCTATTTATAGATGAATAAAGAAAATGTGGCATAATACATACAATGGACTACTACTAAGCCAGAAAGAGATATTAATTCTTGACACATGTTACAGTATGAATAGAACTTGAAGACATTCTGCGGAGTGAAAGAGACAAATACTGTATGTCCTCATTTACTTAAGAAGACAAGAACAGATAAATATATAGAGAATAAAGTTTATTAACAGTTACCAAAGAGATAAGGGTTGGCTAAGTTGGGCGTAGGGGTAACAAGGGTGATTAAATAGGTTTAACATTTATGCTTAACTCTTTTCTCTCATTCATCTAAAAAGATTCCATATGTGGTGAAAAGCACATCCATGTAATTTCGATAACCACAGTGACAAGAAACCTAGGTACTGGAATCATGAGGTTATAACTATGTATTGACACTCTGGAGACTCATTTACATTGTCTTTGTTGTGTGGAACCAAATCAGAGCTGACTCTTCAATGGTTTTTCAGAGACTTTAAAATGGCACAGAAGTGAACTGCCCATCTTCTCCTGCAGAGCAACTAATGGATTCAAACAGAGTGCTTTAGTGTTGGCAGCACATCTTAATGCTAGGTTATCAGATATTCACATTGTTGCTTTATATGCCATTGGGTCAGTTCTGAAGCTCAGAAGATTGCCCATATTTCTCCCATGGAACAGCTAGTGGCTTTGAACTGTGTGCCTTTGAGTTGGCAGCACGGTTCTTTACCATTAAGCAACCAAAGCTCTTTCCATTTACATTAGTATCTAATACAAAATAATGATCCTCTTAGTAATTAACCTAACAATCCTAAATTTATGGTAAGAATACAGTCACATTCTTTTTCTTTTATATATCCTAAACAAGGGAGAAAATCTGGTGCTGAATTTTCAAAATAGTCATATAACCAAAAGTTTTTCACCGTTTCTTTAATAATTCTTAATCTTTTTGAGATCTGCATCCTTTTCTTGTTTTTCTCTTTGTTCCCTGAAAGAGCTATCAAAACTCATATTCATTGCCTTCAAGTTGTAACCAGCTCATAGCTAAACCTCCAGTGGGTTTTCAGAGGCTATATACAGTATGGGAGAAGCCTGATCATCTTTCTCCCTCAAAGTCATTGAATTGGATCAAACCACAAGAATAGCTTAGGCTTTGAGTTAGCAGTACAATATCCTGTGGACAGGTCTGGTTCTTTTATTATGTTGCATTGGGAAAACTTGCTTTCAAGTACCTCCCTGAAGTTCTAAAGAGCAATGCTGTTAGTTTAACGACTAGGGTGCACCTGACTCAAGCCATGAAAAGACTAGTTTTTAAAGATTTGAGAATAAGAGTCTAAAAAATGAATAATTTTTTCCAATATTTTTAGTGTCACATTGTTTGTAAAAGCAACAAAAAAAGAAAAAAAATCAGAACCATATGTAGTTCACACTGGTACAGATGAGGGATAGAATTGTTTAAAAGTACTATTTGCAAAGCAAAGTGGATTGGGTGGCGGGAGGGAGGAAACTATACAACAATGAATGAATTTTTTTAAGGGAAAAGTGAACTGGGGCCGGGGTAGGAAGGACAATGTGAATGAACAGAAATCCAAGTTTTCTGTAAACTTTCATTAAAATCACAATAAAAAATTATTAAAAAATGTAGTTCACTTATCAGTGATAATCATGGTTAACATTTTGATGTCTATAATAGGTTAAATAATACTTACAGATTCTCGAAGGTACCCTTGTCCAGCAACATCATATAAACTGAGTCCTATTCTTGTTTGGTGAAGCCAAACTGATGACAGACAAGAAAATGAAATATATTAAGACCTATCCATTAGCATATATTAATGGAAGAAGATTAAGAGCCTATCTAATAATTCTATACACATATTTCTTCTCATACGTATCATGCCAAAATTGTTGGAAAGAAAACAAACATGGAATGGCAGATTTCAACAATTCTACTATGTTTAAAGTTAGAATAAAATTCATCTCCTTGAGGATACTGATTATTACTTCATTGTTGCAGATTTTCCTCCCTTCCTCTCCTTTCCCCCAGGCCTGTCTGCAATGCATCTCTTGTTCTAAAATGTTGTCATACATACAATGCTAAATCATATGCCTTTCTCACAGTTCTTCCCCTCATCTGGTTCCAATGCAGTATTCATTATTTATCCACTCTTTCTACTCCTTTAATGAAATTATTTTTTACTTTACTAAGATTAATCGTAGCAACCAAATATTAGCTAAAGATGTAACACACAGAATTTCACAGATCATTATGGTACTTAAAGGAATCACAACAATTCCAAATTGTTACATAAATATTCCTTGAAAGTGATCTACACATGTAGGTTTGAAACTATCCTTTCAATCAGTAATATGCTGGTGAATGGAAACTACCAGTAAATTAAAATTATTTCACATAACCTTATGTTAAAATTCTAGGTTCAGCTTTATTAAAATATAGATTTGCTTAGCTAGTCCACAGGGGAATAAACTGCTAAACAAAAGTCATGATTTTCTAGTGACTAAATCCACCAGAAGCTCTGTGGAAGATGGGAAAAACACTTCCACGTGATTTAGTGGCTCAGAAACACAACAGAGTGCCAGTCATGAGTTATTTCTGACTCCATAGCAATGTGGAACAATGAGTGAGCTAGTACCTTCAGGATATATGAGAGTGTTTTTTGGTTTTGCTTTCATTTTTATAAAACCAACCCACATTTATGGTAGAATAATCCCAGCTTTAGTAAGCTCCAGTACCCAGTGAAACCAACTTCAGTCACACTGATTCTGTGAGGCAAGAATATAGCAGCCATAGGTGCCTAACACATAAGTGTGATTTGGAGATTCAGCTCTCTATCTGACAGGGCTATCGTGATCCGGAGATTCAGCTCTCTATCCGACAGGGCTATCGTGATCTGGAGATTCAGCTCTCTGTCCTATAGAGCTATCGTGATCCGGAGTTTCAGCTCTCTCTCCTGTAGGGTTACTGTGATCCAGAGATTCAGCTCTCTGTCCTATAGGGCTATCATGATCCAGAGATTCCGCTCTCCATCCTATAGGGCTATTGTGATCCGGAGATTCAGTGCTCCTCTGTTCTATAGCGCTACTGTGATCATAATAACCTTACAGTGCAATGCAGAACTGTCTACAGGCTTCCTAAGGAAAGGTCACCAGGGTAAGAGGACAACAAATCACAATCAAAAGACAACAGATTCTGCCACTCACAGCTGATTACACAGTGTGCCAGATAACAGATACAATAAAAGCAAAGTCTAAAAACATATTTAATGCATTCGAGCACAAGAAAAACAAATTACCTTTTCTCATGACATAATTAAAAAACTGCATGATAGAAATTCTTCCATAGGAATCTGTATGAAGGAGTTTAGCAAAGATTTTTGCTGTAAAAAATTGCCTAAGAAATAAAGATTAAAATGATCGGTCAACATAATATAAAAACAACTTATATATGAATTAGCAAATAATGGCTGTATGTTTACTTGCTATATAAATACTTCTACATGAATTACTCAAAGAAAGCTGAAAATGAAAATATCAAAGAGAGAACTTTAGAGACTACTTAATGTATACAAAACATAAAATATTAAGCCACACATTCTTTGCATTTCCCCCCCATATTCTTTTTGCTTAAGAATAAAGGTCTAAAGAAAAGAATAAAGATCTAAACAGTAAAAAAAGTAAAACAGAGGTCTAAAATGTAACAAATAATCTATATTACTTCTTTTAATAACTTTACACAAATTTAACTTTTTCATGATTGTAATTTTATTTCATTAGTTACTCAAATTGACTCAAAATGTCATAACATTGATTGATGTTTTCATTAATATTTATCTGAGGGTTTATCCTTACCTACACTTTGATCCAGCTTTGTCACCAACCTTCAAGAAACTTTCATAATTTATCATCGCTTCCTCTCCAATCATAGGTGGTGTCTGGTGTTTGTCCAGCAAGAACCATAAGTTCTTAAGAAAATTGCACAAATGAAGGTATTAAAAGTAGCAAAATGAAATTTTAAAATATTGTGAATATGTTATTTCTGTCAAAATTATAGTCTAACAGTAGAACATTAATTTTAAGATGAATCTCTTTCCCTACTAGTCTTTGATAATATAATAAAAATAGCTAATATTTTAATGTATACCAAATTCTAAAGAAGACATAGTGGCACGATGGTTAAAGAAGTTGAGTGTTAATGAAAAGGTAAGTGGTTTGAATCTACCAGTTATTCCAAGGAAGAAAAGATGAGAAAATCTGCTTCCAAATAGCCTTGGAAACCCCATGGTCAGCTCTACTCTGTCCTGCAGAGTGGCTAGCAACCTCATGGCATGAATTTGGTTTTTTTGGTCTGCCTAGAAAGTTCAAAGATTTTCATATATATACCCCAAACCCAAATCAAACCCATGGCCACTGAGCTGATCCTGATTCATAGTGATCCTATAAGAAAAGAACTTTCCAGTGGGGTTTTCAAGGCTGTAAATCCTTATGGAGGTAGAATTCGGTATCTTTCCCCCCCCCCCCCCGCCCCAGATATATATTTATTGTCTTATGGGATTGCGAGTTAAAGTACAAATATAAATCCCATTCACATTAACACAAGAAAGGCAAACACTTTTTTTTTTTTTAAATTTAGGTTGTTTATTTTTCATTTCAATGAACACCTACAGAGATTTTGGGATTCTATTCATTCAGAAAAGCAAACACTCTTAAAAAGGTGCCAAGTGAATCTTGTGGGATTAATAAAATTAAAAAAAAATTCTCAATTATATTCCTGGAATTAAACAAAGATATCTAAAAAACAGTATTCTGATGAAACCTTCACAAGACAAAAAGATATTGCAAAAAAAAAAAAAAAAAAGAAGGTATTGTGAGAACATGGAAACATCCCAAATGTCCAACCACAATCAAATGGATTGAGAAATTATGGTACATTCACAGGATGGAGTTCTACACAGCACGCAGAAGCAATAATTTTGTAAATCACTACCTAACTTATAAGGGACTATAGAGTATTATGCTAAGTAAACTAACACAGTCCCATATGGACAAATTTTATAGGACCATTATCATAGAAATAGAAAAGTTACTAACTAGTAAAACATGTATAAGGATCCAAGGGGTGGG